CCGCCATGCAAGCACGCAGCGTCAAACTTGCAACCTAATCTGTGTGCCTACCACATTACTTCCGTATATTAATAAATTTGCCAGATTGGCCCTGCATGTATCGGATACATTTTTTTTTTTTTTTTTTTTTGTCTCCCAATACATTTTCTAAATGTTCCAGAAGGGCAGGCAAGTCTTTAGTAGGAAATGAACTTGGCAGTGGGAGACAAGCCAGACCTAAGTCTACACTGTTAAACACAAAACTGTTTAAGACCAAACAGAGTCATATTGACACAATTGTTTGAATTATCAAACAAAATTAAATGTTTTAAACATCTGTGAGCTCAACGCATCAAACTAATATACCAAAAAAAGGGGCAAACTTATAGTTTTAACGGTGTTCTTTATAGGAAAGATGCTTCTGCTATTCACGTCAGTTTTCCTGTAGATCTCATCCCTGACATGGTCCAGTCAACATCTGCAACAGAGGACAAGAGGAAAGGGGTAGAGAAGGAAAAAACTCAAGCTCCATGAATTCTTGCACATATTATTTGAAAAGTGAAATTATGGAGTCCTGACTTAGATGTAGCTTCTCCAAGTTCCAGTCTCAGGTCTAGTGGAACAAAAGGGGGTAATTAATCCTGAATGAAAACATACCACCAAAAGACAAACCTCTTTTTAATGATCCTCTCTGCAGAACCCAGTCAACATCTGCCAACAGAGGACAAGGGGAAAAAAAATTAAAAATTAAATTCATCAGTCATTACCATCAGTACCAGAAGTTTATATCAGTTCCTTTATGTTCTGCTATTCAACTCACAGAGTTACTTAAAACATTTTTAAAGTTGTAGTAAATATAATATTAATCTTTAATAAGTATGGGATTGTCTCTTGGCCAAGCACATTTTCTTCTGAAGACCCTAAACGCGCAACCTAATCTCTGTGCCTAACATAACTTCCGTGTATTAATAAGTTTACCAGCTTGGCCCTGCGTGTATCGAATTAAGTTTTTGCAGAGGACAAAATTACATGATTCCCCTGCTGGGAGGCCTCTCAACACATTTTCTAAATGCCACAGAAGGGCAGACAAGTCTTTAGTAGGAAATGAACTTGGCAGTGGGAGACAAGCCAGACTTAAAAACATTAGACTGTTTAAGACCAGTCAATTTGAGAAAATTGTTTAAATTATCATGTAAAAATAAATGTTTTAATCTGTGAGTTCAAGGTATCATAAACGAATACCAAAAAAGGACAAACTTATCGTTTTAATGGTGTTCTTCATTGGAGCGATGCTTCTGCTTTTCAAGTCAGACGGTCCAAACACTTATCTTCTCCAGGTACACCACTGCAGATGGGTCATAAAAAGGACAAATTCCTCCAAAAATGTTACACATAAAAGACATAACTGATGCAGATATACAAAAATGTTACACATAAAAGACATAACGATGCAGACAACTATTCAAAACAACTATTCTGTAATAAGTTCCCTTTACATAAAGTCTGTAGTATCATTTACTTCAGATACTCTCTACTGTGGAGTAAAGCCAACTCATCCACTTCTTCAAGTTGTGGCTCTAACCATAGATGTAGAATTGCTGGAGGAAGATATTGAAGAGGTCCACCTGCAGGATGACTTGAGAACAGGGCAGAGGTCACAGGCAGGATATACCTTTCAGAAAAAAAAAACCTCAGTCAAAAGGATCGAGACAACTACTGCACCAACAGACAAGTATGGAAGATAAAGGTTGAACAGAAATTGCAGTCCACCATCACAAACAGCATCAAATCACAACAAATTCCATCAGTCCATTACAATCGGTGTCATCCACCCATTTTATTATAATAAAACCATAGCAAAAAACCTGCAGAACCACAAACAAAAAAAATAATAATTAAAACAGTGAAAGTGAATTGTCACTGTGACAGCACACCAAATTCAGAAATCTGCTGTTTATGTAAAAACCCAAATAATGGAAGTATCACAGTAGTACTCATGTTTCAGGCTGAGCTCTGGGGAAATGACAACGTATGATCTGTGTAGGCAGTAGTGACGGTAGTCCTTTGTAATGGCACGCTGGTTTGCGGGACATTAAAAGGACAGATGGTAGGCATATTGATGAAAACAACAATGTCTGTAAACTACAATTTTCTTGTGAATTGTATGAAAAGTAGCGAGCTAAGAGAGGTAGTGCTGACAATATTACCTTAAAATTGTGTTGCTGCTTTTCTCAATTTCTGGGTCGTGGCCTATAAGAGTGTTCCATCCATTCATCCATCCATTTTCGTCTGCTTATCCGTTACCAGGTCGCGGGGGCAGCAGTCTCCATGACCACCACCCAAATCACACTGCACCGTACCAGCCAGTGGTGAACCTTCGTGCGGGTGGTGAGTCCACTGGAAGGTACCAACCGCCCTAACCGGGATTCGATCTTGCCCAGGAGGTGAACCCTGGGGTTCCACACCAATGACAGAGACATTGCCTCTGGGCCAAAGCTCCACCATAAGAGTGTTACGTATAAAAATTTAGAGGGTTCTTTGCTGGATAATGCAATTAATACTAGTATGTGTATGTATGTATTTATATATTTATATATTTATGTGTATGTGTCAGGAGTGATCTGTGACAAAAAGTGTCAGGAGTGATCTGTGACAGAAGAGTGTCAGCTAAGGTGAAGGGAAAGGTTTACAGGACGGTGGTGAGACCAGCCATGATGTATGGTTTAGAGACAGTAGCAATAGGCAGAAGACAGGAGGAGGAGCTGGAGGTGGCAGAGTTAAAGATGCTAAGATTCTCTTTAGGAGTGACAAGAATGGACAGGGTCAGGAATGAGGTCATTAGAGGGACAACACAGACAGGAAGGTTTGGAGAAAAAGCTAGAGAAGCCAGATTGAGATGGTTTGGACATGTGCAGAGGAGGGACAGTGGATACATTGGTAGAAGAATGTTAGAGATGGAGCTACCAGGTAGGAGAAAGAGAGGAAGGTCAAAGAGGAGATATATGGATGCAGTGAGGGAGGACATGCAGGTAGTTGGAGTCAGAGTAGGAGATGCAGAGAACAGGGACAGATGGAAATCAATGATCTGCTGTAGCAACCCCTGAAAAAGGGACAAAGCCGAAAGAAAAAGAAGAAGAAATAACTCATAAGAACCAGACAAGACAATACCTTCATTTTTTACTTAACCACCAAGAAGACAAAATCATGGCACTACATTTTCCCTTAAAAAAAAGAAAATAAATAAATAACCACAAAAATATGCATAAACAATGATTGCATATAGATTACAAAAATTACCCCTAACCACAAAAATATGCATAAACAATGACTGCATATAGATTACAAAAACCTGACAAGGGGAAGAAAAAAAAAAACCCACAAAGAACCTAAACAATTTCTCAAGATTCTGTAAAGCCCCACACAAACAAATGAACCGCAAAAATGAACAAACATGAAAAACAACAACCAATATTATGATGTAAAACAAAGTAGTAACAATAAAAAATAAAAATCAAAAACCCACTCTTTTATGGAAGTCACCATTAAAATAACCAAAAGAATGTTAAAAAAGGCACAAGTGTTTCATTATAAAAACCCACAGCAAATAAATTGAAATGCAAAGATCAAATACCCAGGATTTTTTCCAACGAAAAAAACAAACCAAAAATCAGTCACTCTCATTTGTTATACAAAAAAGTAAATGAAGATCACAGCAAACACTAAGAAGCACAAACTAAACCAAAATAATATCCACTCTAATATTAAATAAAAAGTTGTTTTTTTTTTAATAATGACAAGCCATATAAAAACACTAATCCACACAGTTTACATTTAACCACCTCTTCAACATGAGGCGCAGAGTGGCCTACTTCATTAGATGAAAGCATTTCATTTGACCAAAACCAAAGAAGCTAACAGCTAAGAGGCTTCAGCTAAGGCCTGTAGGTGGACCTAACAGGAGTGTGGTCCCAACCACAAGCCTGCCACCTCATAACACCAAGGCCACAATAAAAACAAATTAACAAACAAAAAAATTCCAAAAAAAAAAACACAAAATTAACAAAACCAACAACACACCACACCACAAAATCAACATACAAACTCAAAGAAAAGAATGAGAACAGGGTTAGCATTAGCTTAACCCTAACCAAAGAAGCTAAACAGGCCAAACAAAAGAAGAAGTTGGTCCAAACAGACAGAAAATAGAGGGAAGAGGACAAATCTAACAAACAAGAAAACCAGAAGAGAAGAACCAGCACAGAGAACCTCACCAGGGAGCAGTCAGAGAGAGAACTGAGCCATTTGGAGGCCTTATATACTACACCTGGGTAAGGGGGAGGGGCTTAGGGAGGGACTGAGGGAGGAGCTGTTTGTAAAACCTTCACTACACTAAGAACTAAAAAAATAGAATCTTATTCTGGGATGTCTAAAAAGAAAATAAGGACTTACTTTAATATGACTTTAATGAAAAAGAATTAAAATATAAAAGTAGACAAAAGTGGCTTAAAATTTAATTTTAGACACTAAAAGATGTGACATTTAAATCATCTGATCAGGAATCTCAACTACCAACTATTTATATATGTGTGTGTGTGTGTGTGTGGTCACACAGAGACACAGACTGGACACAGACCACCCCACCACCACCCCTCCCTCTACGTTGTGTCTGTAGTTCAGCTGAGTGTCTGTGAAATGCTGGACACTGTCAGTGTTACACACTTTTCAAACAAAGAATGAATAAACATAAAGACTAGTAATATTCAATTGGATGGTTATTTTGGACTTTTTCATTAAAATAATTTAGACACCATCATTTTGCTCTGCGCATATCCTCACACAGAGCGAGACCAAACACAGTACTATTAAATTCAGTGAGGTCGGGTCATCCAAACATTACACAGTTCAGTGATAGAAACTGGAAGAGAAAATGTCGAAGGCTGCGAGAGGCAATTTTCATAACAGCCTGCAGAGGGCGACAATGCACAGCTAATATTACTGTAAATAGTATTCTCTATAGCAGTGGTCACCAACCTTTTTGAAACGGAGAGCTACTTCAAGGACACTTAGTAATACAAAGAGTTATTGGTCTGATACAGACTTCCTGAACAATGTTATAATAATCAGTTCTGGGACAGACAACAGTTGACACTCTTCTTACCATCGTCATTGAGCCCATTTAAATATCATTGCAAGTGGAACTGATTCAAAAAGCCCAGTACAACAGTACCATTGTTGACCTTCTTGTTGACTAGTTTCATTTTCAGAACACACCCCTTAGGTAGGACACCATAGTCCACAGGGGCTACCAGGTGTCCCCGGGCACCACGTTGGTGACCCCTGCTATATAGCATTATTTAGCAAGGGGTGGTTGAGCTATTGTATGACAAGGTTGAAATTATTTGCCTCTGCTTAAAAATGTTAAATGTTTATTTATTTACCAGAATATTTTGTATTCAGAATATAGAACAAAATATAAAATTACTTTGATTTTTGTCCAAAAAAGTTCATTTGAAACCAATTGTAGGTCTGTTGCAAAACAGCAAAAAAAAAAATATATATATATATATATATATATTT